GGAAAAGCCCATGCTAACAAAGGCATGAGCTTCATTCACAGTTCTCAAAGCAATCTGCAAGAACCTGGTTTGGCAGGACAAACTGTGATTCACTTATGTAACTTTTTTTCCCCTAATCTTAGAATATTTGTCATTGTTAGGTGTGGCAATGAGCCTGTTTAGGTGCTGAGGAGTCAAACAATGTAAATGGACCCCTGAATTCTCAGGGGTTCCTGAGAGCAGCAAAGTACAAGCTGTTCCTGAAGGCTCCCTTCCTGGGGCAGTGAACAGGTCAGGCTCCAAACTGCCTCCATTCTCTGTGGAAACTGCAGGGCAATGGGAGCAAGGAGGTAAGGAGGGTCCAGTTCTGCTGCAATCAGCTTTGCAGGTGAATCTCCCCACATGTGGGTTACCTTTTGCCATCTGAGAAATTGTGATTAGATTTCTCTCTTGAGATCTTAAGCCATCGTTTCTATCATTCTGCATCTTGGCTGGAAGATTAAATACCTGATCATTGTGTGCAGTTGAAATTCAGAGCTCTAGTTTTGGGAATCCACCTGTGTACTGCAAAGTTTCCAATTTTGTTCTCTCAGGACTCCTGGTTATGATTCACTGGACACAGCAATTATTTTGTCTTTAATTTTTAAAAAGTTTGAGCTGGGATCTTAGTTCAATTTCTATTTTTTGCAGCAAAAGATGAGAGCTCTTGACATACCCCAAGATACTAAGAAATGTAAAAACGGTGGAGAACAGAAGTGTATCATAGAAAGTGAAATGTGAAAATTTTGGGTGGAGATGTGGCAGTATCCTACTGTCTTTCTGAGTAGGAAACTGGATGTTCACATCAGGTTGTTTTTCTACAGGAAAATCCTGAGGTCTGGGAGAGAGCAGGCAAAGCAGGAACATGCTCAGTTTTGTCTGCATAGCTTTCATTAGAAGTCGGGCAAAAAAAAAAGGCATCTTGATATTGTGGGATCCTCAGATCTACAAAAAAACCAGCAAAGATGCATTCATGGAGGGGAGGAGTTTGGGGGAAGGGGTGTACTTGGGTTTTACTCCTCAAAGGTGGAGCCAGGGATGGGTCAGAACAAATGGCTTGGCTTGATTATACAGTGGCACATTAAAAACCAGGTAGAAATCACTGCTTTGTTCTCTAGAGGAATGCAGTAACTCATGAGGGGACTTGTTTTCCATCTGGACTCACTACTTTTTTTATGGCAACCTGAGATTAAGGCCTCACCTTCCACCAGTCTAATGAACCTTTGAGACAGAAAAATCAGTGAGGAGAGGAATTCTCTGAGCTGCCTTATCAGAGAGCACAGGGCCAGGGACTGTCCTGCTTGAGCAGAAGTTGCCATTTCCTCCTTGAAAAGGAGAATTTGTACAGCAATGGTCTCATCTTGCCTAGCAGGGGGCTGGAGAGGTTCAAAGGATGTGCTTGTGCCGAGTTATTATGGCAGTTCCTCTCCTGTGAGACACAGTGTGGTTAAAAGGCAAAACATTGCATACTCTGCTACTTGTGGGTACTGCTGTTGTCTTTGTGTGTCATTTCCATGCAGGCTTTGAAGCCTGGTGCTTGCCAGGGCCCGTGGCACATGTCCTGCAGAGCTCCAGGGAAACGTGTGCAATGCAGCAGTGGTGGTTATGGGAGCACAGGTTGCTTGGTGGCAGCTTTGCTGCTTTCAGGTGGTGTGTTTTGCTCTTCCACGAGTCAGCTGGGAATATTATATTGAATATACCTTGAAGCCTGCCTCAGGGGGCTGACTGAGACATGAGACACAGGGGTGCTCTAATGAGAAATGATATAAACACCAGATAATGGGATAAAAATCCCAGGTGGAGGTGAGCTAAAAATTGTAACTTGCCCCATTATCTTCACTCCCAAGGCATGATTTATTTGATGGAAGTAGTCCAAGTGTGTTATATTTGCCATTCTTGGAGCACATGAGCCAAGACTGATTTGTTGACTTGTGTTAAGGGAAGGGACTGAGTTCAGCATAACTGGTGCTGTAGCAGCATGGCCTCACCAGCAGCAAAGCTTAGGGCAGAAGAAATAGGATTGTGTGTGCAACGGGGCCCTGCTGTCCCCATGCTTTTCAGAAAAACAAGTTCTTTTCAGAAGCCTAGTGAAAATAAATAGTGAAAGGGGTACTGAGATCAAGAAAAAATAATCTGTCCTGGCATTTCATCTAGGGATACTTGAAATATTGCAAGAATCTGGAATGCACTGGGGAAATGAGCCTGAAATGACAGGGCTCTGCAGGAGCTCTTCTGAGAGCTGGAGGAAGACACAGAGTTAAAAATAAAACAAAGCAAGGGAAGATGCTGCAGTAACTTAGCCCACTCTGTATTGCTTTTGTATAGGTGTGGGGGAGAAGGCATGCAGCAGCTGGCTGCTCCAGAAAACCTGTTTTTATTAAGTCAAGTTTCCAAAGCCAATCCAGTCAATATGGGGTGTAAAACCCTTAAGATCTCTTCTCCTGATGGTGGAGCCTGTGTTTTTCATCCTTCCCTTCCCTTGCACCTCCTGCCACAACAGGAAGCAACCCAAGTGACTCTTCCTCCAGCATTGCTTTTCTAGGGACCTCCATGGTTCCCAGGGTACACAACATGGGAAAACTAATTAGAGATCTGACCCTGAATGAATTCTTAATTGCAGTTTCCAACCCAGTGTGAAGGGGACTGATCTTATTATTGGCAGTTACTAACTGGTATTGGCACAGAATCACTCTTGAGTGCACTCTCTGGGGAAAATCCATCACAACAGCACCTATTTGTGTGCCTTCTGTTCTTGGCAGTTTTCTGTTGGCTCATGTTTGTCTCTGAGGCGCTCTTGGTGTACCCAGCAGAGGTGTCTGTGTTCCCTGGGGTCCAGCAGAGCAGCTCACATGGATTGCTCCAGTTGCAGAGCCCCTGGTCTGAGCAAACCCATTGCTTTGCTCCCTTTCAGGGCAAGAGAAGCTCTTTATTCCTTCAGGTGGTGTTAAGGCACAGAGTACTGGTGAGGGGTGGGATACAGACAGACTGCCTAGGAAAAGAATGAGCACCTTCCTGAGGGAGGGATGGTGCTGTTGGCTTCTTTGTCATTGCAGCCCTCTTGCTGAAGCACATCTTGGCCTCTAGGCCAGACCAAATCAGTCTGGAGAGCCAGCAGAGTGACAGTATCAATGTTTGACACCTGTCTCCTTCAGAGGACAGGAGTGATAAATCTGCAGCTTCATCTGGGTCTGAGGCATGGTGGGCCAGTGAGGCTGAGCTTTCCAACCATCTTGGAGCCTTAAATCTCTGGGACATTCCTGGCTCTGGGTTGGTAGAGGGTCTCACAATGGTGGTCTGTGTATGTGACTGCTGTCTCCTGAAGTTACCCGCATCCTGAGGAGCTGACTCTCCTGCAGGGAGCAGAGTGCCAAAGGCTGCTCTCATAGTAAATTCCTCAAGTGCCTACAGGGTGCTTTAGCAAAAGCAGCCTCATGCTGCTCCAAGTGATGGTTTGGGTGAAGCTCAGCAGTGCCCTACTGCTCACCTGGGCACAGGGAAAAGGGGAGTGTGGCAGGTGAGAGCACCTGTCTACAGCTGCCCTTAATAAAGAGTCTCCCTCTTGCCTTTTTAGTAGTGTTTGTCCTGTTCAGGGGGTGGCAGTGGATTTAGCAGTATTTTCCCTTCTTTTGCACTCTTACTTATCTCTGCCCATGTGTTGGAGCAGCTGTCCTGTAGGGTGGTGAGAAAGTTTGCAGGTAAATATTGATTATCTCTTTGTAGTAATTCAGCAGACAGCACTTTGCTTTTCACCTGCATTGTGTCCCTTCTCTCAAGTGGAGTAGTTCCTGAGGAGTATCCTTAGGAGAGAAATCCTTTCATATGTGAACAGAGCAGGCCTTTAAAATAGGTACAGAATCCCTGATAAAGGATCCCCAGAGCCCCAACCATTCTGCTGCCTTCATTAGTGCCTAAAAATCAGGGATGTTGTGTGGGGGAAAGAAATGAGGTGGGAGGCAGCTGATGAGAGGAGCAATGTACCCTGCTAACAAAACTCATCTGAACAGATACATCCAGCACCTCTGTGCCTCCTTTCACCTGCCTCATTCTGAGCAACCACATTAAGAAGGAAAAAAATATTTAAAGCTCTGCTAACCAGAGCCCCATGGGGAAACAAGATAACTATCAGCAGAGCTGGTGCTGCCATGGGTGTGAAGCGCCCACAGCAGCAGGATCAGCACATCCCTGCCTGGTGCAGCTTCCAGTGCTCCTCTGAACTCTCCTTCGATCCAGAGCTCTGTTCAGCAGTGGGCTTGGCTCATTCTGCTCTCCTGGTGCTGAGGGGCAGGTGTGTGCAGCTGAGGGGACCAAGAGCTCACCTTAGACCCCATGCATTGGGAGATGCTCCCTGTCCTTAGCGATTTCCTGATCCTCTCCACATGCAGCCCTTTCTCAGGAAGGAGCTGATCCTGTGGGACACTGAGGGCCACCAGGGCACTGACGTGCCAGGGTGTTTTTAGGCCAGGCCACTGCAGCCTCAGCCCTCTCCTTCCCCTTCCACCCTGTCAAAGTCAAGGCTGCTTTTCCTGCAGCACTGCCCTTCTGGCAGCCATGGGTCTCTACTGCTTGCCATAACCTCAGTCTATCATCTGAGGATGCAGCAGTTAAATAACAGTCTGAGCTTCTGCAAAACAACTGTGGCAGTCCCTCAGGCCACCGAGGTTGCTGTTCCTCCCCCAGAGCCCCAGGGAGCAGAGGCAGTGACTGTGGGAAGGCTTCTGAGGACAGCAGGTTATAAAAGCAGCTCACACAGGGGCCAGCAGGCTCCAGCTGGGCTAAAACTGCCCCATCCTGCAGAAAATGCCAGCAGGGGCATGCATTTCTCCTGGTCCTTCCTGGTTTGCAAAATTCATCCCGCTTGTGACAGAAAGGGGCATGAGGAGAAGAGCAGGGATCCCTTTCTGACTGAAAATCAGGCAAGATAGGGATAATCTTTTAACCTAAAACTCAGACTATTTCCAATAGTAGTGTTTTTTCCTCACCAGGATTCCTGCATCAGTCAGTTCTGTGCTGCTTTCAGAAGACATCTGCCTGGTGCTTGGGATGGAAGTTGCACTCTTTGCTCTCTGGGGATGGCTTCCCCTGGCTGGAGTATTGGTTCCTGCCTTCCCTAAGGGCCGCCTTTGCCTGCTGCTTGTTTTCCTCCCTGAATGCCTGTTCCCAAGGGAAAGTGCTGCTTTAGGGTCATGCTCCACTCCTGCTGAGCCCTGGTGAGGGCTGTCAGAGCCCTTCCCAAGATGGTGATGAGGACTGCAGGCAGTGCTCACCTGGGCTGTGCTTTGGGGCCCCCAGGAGCAGCAAAGCTCATCTGTGAACTCCAGCACAACACGGGCTGTATGTTGAGGTAATCAGCATCCTTGATCTTCTCCTCTGAGACCCAGCAGTTAGCTTATTTGCACTCTGTTGTGGCAAAAATACAAAGAAAACAAATATGAAAGATTATTTAATGAACTCTGGAAATGAATAATGAATACATCATTTTAAGTGGTTCTTCAGGCTGCTACAGAGTGTTATCCTGAGATGTGAGAGCAGGAATCTTGGCTGATGCAGACAAGGACAGTCATTTGGTTCCTGAATGAGCAGCTCACAGGATGAATGGGACAGTTAATTGTTTCTTGAAGCAAACTTCCCAGACATCAGTGTGGCTAAGGAGGAGACTTGGCAGTGTGCTGAGCCTTAATTTTTAAACAGTGTGAAAGATGGGCTTGACTTACCTTTGCTTTGAGTTGGTGCAATGCCACTGACTTCAGTGGAGAATTTGTAGCCCTCACATTTCATCTGCCTGGCTATTCGTTGGCACAGCAATGAGAAATGAAACACCAAGCAAGGTTTTCCAGCAAGACTAGAATTTTCTGGAAGATCCCATGCTGACAGAAAAGTAGAATATATGTCTGACTTAAATCGATTTGTTACATGTCTTGTGTTAAACACTTTCTTTGCTGTGATAGCCTGGTTTAGTCAGATCTGAAAACAAAGAAAGGTGTTTGAAACCTTCATCTATTGGGAGACTGGCTCACATTCCAAATAAGTTATACAGCATTCTTTCCTAGACTGAAAACATTCAGGTTGGTCCTCAATTATTGCTTATAATTCCAAAGGGTTCTGGGACAGCTGTACATTCTGGGCTTTGTGTCCCTTGGAGTCCTTGGTGGATAGACTCATGATAGTGAAAACATTTTAGGGATGGATGACTCAAGAAGTTTCCTTTTTAGAGTCTCTTTAAAATAACTTCATTTGAATGAGAAAATCAGAAGGATTCTTTAAAAAAGCAAATGTGTATTTCAGTATGGTGTGAGTGTATGGATAAAAAAAGCCAATTTAAGAATTAACGATCCAGGAAAATTATTAGCAAAGGCTCTTCCCCATCTGCCCTCCATGGAACAGGCATTGCTCACATGGTGTGGGAGTAGGACCTCATGCAGGGCTCCCTGCCAAACTCCCTGCGAGCCACATGTTAGCAGCAAGGGAGTGGCAAGTAAGCCCTTTGCTGAAGTGTGAGTGAGGTGAAGAAAGTTTAACTTTTATTTTCATGCTGGAGAGACTATTACAAACCACTCATCTCCTTGGTGTGCCACGTGGTGAGTTTTGTTGTGTGAGACACAGATGTGGTCCATAACCTTCCTTTCACATCAAAGGTTGGACCTTGCCTCAAGGTCAATTGTTAATTCTCAAGGTTAATTCTCTCTTCTCTTACAATTTGTTTTCCCCAGCCTAAAATTAAGGGTTACATTTGTGTATTGTTGCATGTAAAGACAGAAATTTGACTTTTAAAACATGGCAGACATCTCTTTGAAACTGGGAGCTAGATCCCTAAATATCTTTGGAAATCTGGAGCTGTGCACCAGATGGAGAATCAGCCCTTAAAGAGTAATTTCATGAAGGAAATGGAGTGAAATTATTTCCTTTAGCAAATAGTTTCACAGCATGAAGAAAGAAAGCAGAGCCAGCATCTTGCACAGGGAGATTATGCTTATTCTCCCCTTCTTCATGCCTCTTTCCTAGGGTTTTGGGGGCTTTTTGGTTTGGTTTTTTTTTCCTCCTATGGATGCATCCAGGCCACATCATGGCACAATGCAATGTGCCAAAAGTAGGTATTGGTTACTCTCTAATTGGCACCAGTTGCAGGTCAGAGTGAGCACTTTGTGTCTCATGAAAGGCTGAACCCTTTTTATGTCCTGAAGTGATTTGAGAGTAGATATAAATGTCACAGACACACTGAACAAGAATTACTGGCCTGCAGAATTAATCCAAGATAATGTCAGAGGCTCTCTGAGGCAGGCTGACAATGTGGTGTGTGAGCCTTATGTAACTGGGTACATGTACCTGAGGTCATGTGCAAATGTAGGGGCTGCAACTGGGCTCTACACCCCAGGAAATGGGCAGGAAAATCCCATGTCAGAGTATCAAACACTGGCAGTGTCCCTGGTGGGGAAAAGCCAGTCCCTGGTCATCTCTGAAGACAACAGTGACCCTGCAGATTGTCAGGAATTAGTCCTGATCCAGACAGTCTAGGAGAGATCCCCAAAGTTTCCTTATCCTGGATACTGGGGACATGTGAGGTGTGCAAGCAAGATTTTTGCAGTGTCTGGGAGGAAAATGAAAATTTCTAGACAGGTGGAGCTCATCAGTTTGCAGAAAAACAGCTTCTGCTTAGAGATCAAACAACTGCCATATGGTGCTGTTTTTTCCTATAGCACAAACATATTTAGCTGTGCCAGGAGAAGTCTGGGGAACTGATTGTCAGTGGCCACACAGGATATGGCTAAACTTGGATCAAAACACTTCCAAAGCATGGAGCAGCTCTGGAGAAAGGAGCTGAATGGCAGCTGGGGGAGGCAGTGATGCAGTGGGTCACTTAGGGAAAGAGGGACTGCTCAGTTTCACCTCAGTTTTATTGTATGGAAACCTGGCTGGCTGCTGCAAAGATACGGTGTAAAACAAAGTGAAAAATTCTAAAACCCTTTATATGACTAGACTCCAAACTCTGAATCAACATTATTTCAGTTAAAAAAAAATCTCACCAAACAAATAATTGCATGTTACTGCTTTCATTCTTGGCTATAAGATAAAATCTCATTAGTAGCTGCAATAATAGCACATCTAGGAGCAAAATTTGGCTTAAAATGCTTTCACTTTCACAACACCCACTTTTCATTTGAATGCTCAAAGTTGCTGCAAAACATTTTTGAAAATTAGCTATTAGCTACACACTGTAGTAATTTTTCTGGTGACAGCCATTGCACAGAACATCTACACTGCAATGAACTTTTTGCAGTACCTTAAATTTGCCTTATTATTGTCTATCAAGTGTTGTTATTGCTAAACTTGTTCCAGTGCTGACTCAGTTGATGAGCATAATTTTACCATGTAGGCAGCCCTAATTCGTGATGATCTGGGGCTTCACATAGCATCTAGAACCTTCCTCAAAAGCCATTTTGCAAGTGACTAAGACATTCATGAAAGACCTTAGAGCTGGAGGTTTGTGCTACAAATGCAAAGCAGCATTTATTATTTGGGCTTTACAAATGCAGTTTTAATTTTGCCTTAATCAATACTTCATTAAAGTGGGTCATGTAGGAACTGTTTGTTTCTCTGGTCTCCCAAGCAGCTTTCTGTGTCACATTAGGAAAGAAAAAAATGGCATTCAAGACAGCCTGAAAAATATTTTTCTTTTCCTTGGCCTCCCCTTCCCCCTTGCAGGCTTTCTGCTCCAGTGGCTTGTGTTGTAGTCACACTATGCTTGGAGTGACTTGAGAGCATCCCTAATGCTGCATGCCCAGCACTGGAGGCAAATAAACTATTTGTGTGCAGCAATCTGTAAGCTGTGTGGGATCTCAGCACCTCAGGACTGAGGTGCCGAGTCACCGAGACCACCCTTGGGGGGCTCGGGAGTCCTGGAATGTTGCCAGAAGTGTCTGGTGGCTGGACTTTGACCCTACACAGGAGACGACACCTGTATGAGGATAGGAGGATTTCACCGGGGTGAATGGTGAAGGGATTAGTTAATTAGAGGGTGAGACACAGGGTTTAGGGTTTATGTACAGGGGGGTTTAGAGAAGTAAGATGGAGGAATTGGGGCGTGTCCTGTCCTTCTTCTTCTTCTTCTTCTCCTCCATCTTCTGTGGTGATGGTGGCACTTTGGGATTGGTCATTACTGAAAGTGCACCGGGCAATAAGAATAAAAGGTATTGGGGAAAAAATGATAAATATTGTACACGTAACTATGGGTATAAAGATAGGTGACTGTCCGGAGGGCAGGACAGTGTGCTCATGGCTGACTGCTGAGCAGACCTCTGTCGGGCCGAAAGAAAATCTTTTAGATAAACAATTAATAAACATAGAGACCGAAAGAAGAACTGAAGCCTCTTCTCGTCCTTTGATACGCGGGCTGCCCCAAGGCCACTCCGGGCCCTTCCAGGCCCTCCAAACAGCCGAAAACCGGACAAAGCTGCACCTCAAGAACAATTTCCTTGTCTGCTGACTGACACCCAGGAAGGCTTAGGGAGGTTTGAGCAGGAGGGCAGTGGCAGAAGTAGCAAAGTTTCCTTGTCTTCCCCGGTGCAATGTATGCAAAGCAGCTGCAGGAGGGGTCAGTGGCAGTGGGATTCCCTGCCCATTGGCACGGTGGGTGCTGCTGCAGCCCCTGCCTTTGGCTGTGTGCCCCAGGGGCTGCAAGGGCAGCAGGGACTGCTTTTCCCTTTGCTTTCATTTCTGGGAGTTTTCTGTAACTCTTTGGATTTTAAACTGAGTTTGTTGAATTCTTCTGTTCTTTCCCTCCCACTCCAGTATTTCACAGGAGGGGTTTTTTGCCCCCTGCCTTTTGTTAGATGACAAATTGCCCCTGCACCATTAGAGCTGTGGTTTGCTGTGCTCCTTGTACAAGATGGTTTCAGAGAGTGGAGGATTAGCTCAGACCTCTTGACTACTCTCCCCATACACCACTTCTGAGGCTTCAAGGCTCACTTGCTTTTTAGCAAATCAGAGTTGACACTGGCTGACTTCAATGCTGGTGGAAGTTTCCCTCTGAATGGGGCTTGTGGATGGGCTCTTGGCAAGGGCTCCTGACTGCAGCTGCTAAAGCCTTATCTCTCTCTGTAAGGAGGTGCCGGAGTTGCCTCCAGTGGGTCCCTGGGGGCTCTTGCTGCAGTACCAAAAGCTTGTTTCATTGCAGGGAGGGGGCAAAGGCTGCAGAAGGCCAGTTCAGCGCACTGAGCTTACAGCTGGCTTGGCTGGGGGAATTGATGCCAGCGGTGTAATGTGTGAGCTGTAACCAGAGGTCTGGTGTCCCAGGCACCTCCAGTGAACGTGTGAGAATGGCACTACTATTACTGAGAATAAACTTACCCTGCATCCTATAAAATCCAGCAAAATGCTCTCAGATCTTATAAACACTCCAGTTCCACTGCTGACTGCTGCTTCTTGGGGCTGGCTTGAACTGCAGCCTAGGGAGGAGCCAAGAGGTGCAGGAGAGCCACTCTCCCAGAGTGCTCTGGCCTGGGGTGGAATTAACCTCTTTGTTCAGTGCAGAGGAAAAAAAATTCAAAGCAG